TGAAATGTGATTTACAAAATTCTGTACTTACTACACCAGGTAAAGCGCCCTCTTGCCTTTCCAGATGACAGTGATAATTTTGTACAGGCTCACAGAATTTCTCTGGTTCTGGCCCAGTGCTTTCAGATGGGGAAAACGTCAACATGAAGAATGGTGGTACTCCCTTGTCATGTACTTACTGATTGTGTGACCTTGAGTACATCATTTTTTATCTCACACAGCTTCTAGTCTTCATCTGTACAATAGGGACAATTATATTACACAAACTATTAAATAATATATATATATACACACACACACACACACAGTCCTTAATAGGTGCTCACTGTCGATGTTGGCTGAATCTGAATCTGTTTCAGCTGTCACAGATGATACCATAGCCACGACCTAAGGCCCTGCAGCATCATTAACCTTCTTACTAAATTTGGCAACTCTATGTGTAGGAAGGGCAGTAAATCTACAATAATGTCATATAAGCTTTTGGTTTTGCTGTCCACAGTAGTATGAGAACTAAAGAGTGGAGGATTGGTTGATACCACCCAGGTAATAATGAGGGGAGGGGAAGTTTAGGATAGGGCCCTGGGATGCATAACATTTAAAGGACAGGATGGGGAAGAGCAGGAAACAGAATGGGAAGGGAGAAAGCAGAGACAGGCAAGGATGATCAGAGAAAATCTGCGACGGATGCCAAGGGAAGGAGTGTTTCAAGATGGCACACGTGGGCAACAGTGTTGGGAGGCCAAGCTGAGAGGCTGGAAGGCCTGAGGAGCACCTACTGAGGCCTAAGGAGTTACTTGAATGGAGTACTAGGGACACAAAAAGCAGGCTTTGAAGGTTTAATCGTGTTGAAGTTGAAAATTTGGTGATAACAAATTTAGCTAACTCTGAGAATTTGGATGGCAGTGGAGAGGAAAGAGAAGAGGTTGACAATGAAGAAGAGAGTGGATGTAGGAAAGAAAGAGAAAGGGGATAGGTAGATGGAGCAAGAACTGGATATTAATGCAAAACTAAAGCTTAGTAAAAAAATTGACTCAAGATTTCTCTGAACCTGCTGTCACTGTCCCTGGTATTTAGACAGGAGTTCAGGGAGGGAGCTAAGAAGAAGACAGAGGACTAAGAACCTGAAATACACTTGGATATCTTTTGCTATCAAAGAAGCAAAAGCTTTTAAAATTCTGTAGCCAAAAAATTTTCTTCAAATCCCCCTTTACCTCCTCTTCCCTTAAAGTCTGTCTGGTCTGTAGTTTTTCTAGCAAGCGCAGGACTCAGGGGTTTTCTCTGACAGTACCATCAGACAGCCAATACACTTTGGTCAGGATGGTGAGGTGACTTGTATGTAAACTCTTGGAGTCTTGTTACAGATCGCTCATTACCTTATAAAATGTGAATAAAGTAAAGCAATCTGAGTGGAATCCCCAGAGCTGGTGCAGTCCAGGAATAGACTTGCTATATATGACTTACTCTGCAGATGTTATTAAAATGTTGTTAATTCCATTATTCCTTTTGCTATGAAAATTAATGGGAACTCTTTCCCAATGATGTAATAACTAGGAATAGTTGTGAATAGCTTTTCTTAAGAACAGTGTAATATGTTGAGTTCTTTGTTGGCTGCTAGAGTATTTAGAGCCAAACTATTGGCCTCCCTCCTACACAAGTGATTAGGACATCACAGCATGTGTTTTGTGTTGCTTGCCTTTGGGATTTGAGGAACTAATAAATAATACCAACTTAATCCTGCCCAAGATCTAAACTAATTGAGAAAGAGACATGGGAGACAGGCAGACAGAGATCCAAATGTCACCTTTACAAAATGAGATTAGCAGGCCACTGCAGCTTGATGTGGCACATCCTGAAAGGCTGTGACATCTCTACAGAAGACGCACTTGTACAGGATGGAGAAACTTCCCAACCCCTTCTCCCAAATGCACAATCAAATACCCAACCCTGGACAAAATATACTTAGTTTTTCTCCCTGGAAGAGGGGCTACAGCAATAGGCCAGGTGCACTGCTTTAGGGGACCCTTCTTTTGAGGAGAAGAAAACAAACACTCCTGATACCAACTTTTCTCCTTTTTCCCTCTGTATCCTCATTCTCCCTTTGCCTAGTTCCCTCAACTATTTAGCAAATAACAGCATATGTTTTTGTGAGAAAAAAATAGAGAAGTTTTGCCCAAAGAATTTAATAAATTATTTGAAAGTGATAGGAATCCCTTTTTTTTTTCTTATGAAATAACAAAATCCAACCCAGTTTTTTTGCTTTGAGACACATTTCAGTATGCTACCCAGACTGACCTCCCAACTCCTGGGCTCAAGGGAGCCTCCTGCTTCAGCCTCCCAAGTAGCTGGGACAATAGGTGTGTATCACAGCACCTGGCTTTCACCCAACTTACAGTGCTCAGAGAGGAACCGATTATAAGAGACTGTAAATGGGTGGCTTATTTTTCTTCTGCCTCTCAATGATTCACTTAAAACTCCTTGTGCCTTGTCTTTCATTCATGAGATACTGCTATTGTAAAAACACAAAGAGATATCTATACTTACAATGACAAAAAGGGCCCACTAGCTAGAGTATAATTCTGTAGAAAAGACAGATATGATCAAATGTTCTATCAGGAACCTATTTTAGAAGAGTGTTGGCCAAGTTCTTTAACAAAAATTCTAGAACTGGTATATCCAGATATGTATCATGCTTTTCAAGAGAGTCAGTTTACTCCAATGAGGCCACCAGTAGTGAGTGAACTTTCTTAGCTCCTCTTTAGAACAGCTACTGCAGACTTCAGAAGGGATCTCAAATACCCTCAGAAATGGGAAGCATTTGTCCTTTCTGGTGACTTTGATTTTGGAAACAATTATTTGCAATGGCATGTGATAAACCATGTGCCTACTCAGATTTGGTGACAAAAGTTGTAATGAAAAACAAGAATGGCAAAAGAAAATACAGGAGGAAATCTTCATGATCCTGAATCTGGAAATGGTTTCTTAAATATAACATCAAAAGCACAGGAAACAAAAGCAAAAAAGTAGGTGAATTTGTCTTCACCCAAATTAGGAAGTTTTGTGCATCAAAGAACGCCATCAACAGAATGAAAAGACAATTTCCAGAATATGCCTAATATATATGCAGAATATCCTGAACATATAAAGAATCCTAGAATTCAGCAACAACAATTCAAAAAAAAAAAAATCAAACAACCCAATTCCAAGATAAACCAAAGACTTAAATATTTTCCAAAAAAGAGATACAAGTGGCCATCAAACACATGAAAAAAATTAGTCATTAAATAAATCAATAGTACGACATCATTACTCATTGGGAAATGCAAATCAAAACCACGAGATACCATTTCACATTTACTGGAATGTGTCTAATTTTAAAAAGAAAAAGAAAGGGAGGAGGAAAATTGTGGGAAAGAAATTGGGGAAATTATAACCCTTGCTCATTGCAGGTAGGAATGTGAAATGGTATGGCCTCTTTACAAAATGTTAAACTTTATGAAAGGTCCTCAAAAATTGAATGTAGAATTACAATAAGATTCAGAAATTCTACTCTTAGGTATGTAACACAAAGAATTGGAAAAATGGGGTCTCACAGAGATTCTTACAGGTTAGGCATAGTTGCTCACCTCTGTAGTCCCAGCTACTTGAGAGGTAGAGATTGGGAGAATGACAGTTCAATGTCAGCCTGGGCAAGAAGTTATCAAGACCCTGTGTCAACCAATAATCTTGATGTAGTGGTGCATGCTTGTGAATCCCAGCTACTCAGGAAGTATAAATAGGACAAGGGCTGTCCAGGCTGTCCTGGGCAAAAACCTAAGACTATCCAAAAAAAAAAATAACTAAAGACAAAAGGGCTTGGCGGGGGGAGGCATAGCACAAGTGGTAGAGCACCTGCTTAGCAACTGTGAGGCCCTGAGTTCAAACTCCAGTACAGAGAGAGAGAGAGAGAGAGAGACACTTAGATGCAACTGCCCATCATAATAGCCAAAAAGTGAAAATAACCCAGTGTTTCTTAGTGGATAAATGGATAAACTGTAGTGTATCAAATGGAATGTTATTCAGCCATTAAAAAGGCAGGAGATACTGACCCACACTATAACATGGATAACCTGTGAAAACATTGTGCTCTTGAAATACACCAGACACAAAAGGGCAAACACTTTGCTTCCACTTATATGAGGTACCTAGAGTAGGCAAATTCACAGAGACGGAAAGTAGATTAAGGGTTACCTGAGATGGGGGTAAGGTAAGGAAAGGAGGGGAGTCGGGCATCGTTGTTTATTGGGTATAGTTTTTGTTTGGACTCATGAAGGGATTTGGGAAATGCTCGTGATGGTTATACAGCAGCATGAGTGTAATTAATGCCACTGAATTGTTAAAATGATGTTATATATAATACCATTTTGTTATTTAGCGTTACATATAAAACACGTAATATTTTGCTGTTAAGCAGATTTTACTATACATAACCCCCCAAAATTTCAAAATATACAAATTAAAATTACATTTAAAGACATCCAACAGCCCTTCCCTTTTTTTGACATATGCACGGTTGAAACTGATCCTGTATCAATTTCAACTTCGTATGGATTTTATAATTCTTTCTAGATGCCACGATCATTCATTAGACAGGTGAGACCGGGCGTGCGCACCTCCTGAAGACAAAGCCCCGCACCCATGCGTCAGGAAATGCAAGAGGGAAACGCGAGATGCTGCTGTTCGAAATGCAGAAACGAAATCGCAGTGACAAACTCAAGAGTTAAATACGCGTTAGCGGTGACCACTGAATAGCGTGGTCCAGCCACGTGGTTCACACTGCGTGACAGGGAAATTAGAGGCTTGCATTTGCTCGGCCCAGGCCGACACTGACGCCTGGACCCGGGAATCCCGCGGGGGTGGGGGGTGGGGACGCGCTCTCTTCTTGGTCCCTTTTGCGCCATGCACCTGCGTCAGGGGCAGGCCCCCCGGTATTGTCGCTCATGTGCACCCCGGTTCTTTTGCAGAGCATAGGAAACTTGGAAACATGACTGTGACGGTGAAGAAGACGGTCCCCTCCCCCGAGGCCGTGCAGATCCTCTACCAGCGCATGAGATACGAATACGATTCTACCACTACGTCAAAGCGCAGTTCCACCTGCTGAAGCGCAAGTTCGGACTCAAGTCTCGCGCGAGCAGGACCCCTGCGAGACCTCAGTTCTTCGTCCCCACCCCCCTGGAGACCGAGGAGCCAATCGATGACGAGGAGCAAGACGATGAAAAGTGGCTGGAAGATATTTATAAGAGGTGATGCCAGCCCTGTGTTGCCTCCATGGCTTTATCTCCCTTTTCCGGAAAGTTCTTTGGGGAAGAAAAAAAAAAATCCTGATGGAACTTCGATTAATGCTTGTGTGCATTAAAGAGAACAAAACATTCCCACATGTTGGGGTCATTGGGAGATGCCCGGTTTTGCGGGTTTTATTTGCTTAATTTTATTCTGTGGTTTTGTTTTGTTTTGTTCTTGGCTCCTTGAGTTTTTTCCCAGGTACAGTAGAGGGCTCCATCACCAGGCACCTCTTCATCAAAGAGGTGCCTTCCCCATGTCCGCCCACCCTCTGTGATGGGGTAAGAGGAAGAAGTAACACATCCACAGCCCAGAAGTTTGTCATTTGCAAAATGACTTGGAAAAATATTACCTCAGTGGTAGAAGATACCCAGGCTTGTACATTGCAGAGTCCAGGGGATCTGCTCTGGAAGGATCTAAGAGGAGAAGGGGAGACAGATAAGAGCATCAAAGGGAGGAAGTCCCCAGTTAAGTGGTTTCTGCCCACCTGGGTGGGATTCTGCTTCTGGTCCATCTCAGGGGACACTGTCACCAAGAGCAGAGTACTTATCTGTGAAGGAACACGTGGCTTTGTGACACCTACATCCAACCAATCAGAGCATGAAGTACTTTCAAGGTCAAAGTGCATGGCAAGCCCCCTGGGGACATTTCATTTCCAAACAGGATTCTGATAAATGGCCAAGTAGCATAGCAAGGAAAAGAATCTGCTACAGAAGGAAGAGTGTAGGCAAGACAGGTTACATATGTCGGTCATGTGGCATCAGGGACAGCTGTGTGCTTCGCACCGATCAGAACCATCTCTGCCCCCCAACACTGCATTAAATGGAGGTTCCAGGTACCAGTCCAGCTCTGGCATTGATCACTATGGCAGGAATTCTAAGCCTGACCCTAGGCAGTGTATGTAATCTCCCTTACCCACCTCTGGTTACGTTGGGTCATATTGTACCTGGTGTCTTTCACCTTCTCGTCCCCTGAGAAGTACCTGCTTTTAGTCACAAAAAAAAGGGGGAAAGGGGCCCTGAGTCCTGTGCAAGCAGCAGTAGAACTAAAGTCTCATATCTTATGGAATCTGCTTGTTCCTAAGGCCCTTACCAGGGACGTCAAAGACAAAAGAAGCAAGACTGCTGGGTAAGACACTGCTTGACGGACTTCGTGAGTAGGCGGATGCTCTGATGTGGTTTGAGTAGAAGGTGGGTGGCTCCACTGCGTCAAAGCCTTGCTCTCTATCCAGTCTTTACAAACCGCCCCCCGCCCCATCAACAATGCCTTGGTTCAGCCATTAGAAATCTGTCTCTACATTCTGAAATGTTTTCACCTTTTTTTTAAAAAAATCCTGAAAAGTACTTTAAAGTACATGTTCTCCTCGGGGTTAATGCCCAGCTAGCTGAGCCACTGGGGTGCAGTGGTGGCAGCAGGAATGGGGGCATGGCAAATAGGTCTGCTCCACGTTTTCCCTAGAGCCAGCCCTTGAAAAGCACTAGCCAAGTGAGGTGGAAATACTTAAAAGTAACTAAAACTGACTTTGCACGAGTTATATACATTTTCTGCTTTTCAAAAAAAACCCAACAATTCTAGAAGATAGAATTTTGTCTTCCTTCACTAAAACTGGACGAGAGCCAAGATATAAAGCAAGTCATTTGGAGCCTGCCAAGTGGGCCCTGAAGCTACTTTTTCATGAGATCTGTTGAGGCATCCAGCGAAGGCAAGGATGATGGAGGCACCAAGTCCAGCACTGGGCTACTTGTGAGCCTCCCTTCTGCCTCGGGGGACTGAGGTAGGGATGTGAATATGCGAAATGTTCACAGTGGAAGAAATATCCCTTCTCCTGTGCAGAGAGACAGGGCCCCTGTAAAGGAAGGCATACTTTAAAAAGGAATCTAGAGAACAGAGCTCATTCCACACAAGTCCACGAACTGCTGCCCGCTGCGCTGTGAGTCATTTCTATGAAATTACGTGTAAAGAGTGATGATTAGTTTACACACCGTGCAATCTCAAATCTGAAAATATAGTTGTGTTGGCTAAGTTTTCTCTGCTGTTGTTAGAACATCAGGACAATTGGCCACCCAAAAAATTCCATTTTTCTTCCTGCAAGTTCTCCTGGGCACTTCTACCTGTGTGTTCAAGGTCATTTATTTTCAGCAGTGGTCATTGTCACCTCACAGCAGAAGATGCTGACTGATTTACCTGCAGCGCCTTCATGTTCTTTTGTTCCCACAAGGTCCTAACAGTCAAGGCACTTCATCAGCTTATTTGGTACACATGACAACATTTCTTTGGCCCCGGGCCCAACTCAGTTTGTACTTCATGAAATATATTGTACATTTTACATAGTTTAATTTAAAAATACATTTTAAGCTAGTTGATCTTTGCCTTATTTATTGTAACCTTTCAGCACATTCCAAGGTTTTAGTTACTCAGGAAGGAGTTAATTAAAATGATTTTATTTTGGTCTGATGGATGTTTTTTAAAAGGACCATTATTATGAACCCTCAGCTGACTTTCCTTGAGTGCTGTAAAAGTGCTTCTAAATCTTTTTTTTAAAAGAATGAAAAAAATGGTGTTTGACATTGATGGAAATTCAAAAATATATATGGAACTGAAGCGTTAGCTTAGCTAAAATAAAAGCAATCTGTGTTTGAGATGAAGTGTTCCTTAATTTATTCATTACCCATATAAATAAATGAATATAAACAAGTTGAATTTTTTTCCATTCTGTTGATAGCTGGAAATTAGTGCCTATAGAGCCTCACAGATCCCTTAATTAGCAAAGCTTTCTTCTTCAAAATGTGATTTTGAAAAGATGTGTTGTTGAGACTCTGTCAACTTTCATTCTTGCAACTATATGACACTAAAAAAAACTGGCTGAGAAAATAAGGCACTCATTCATTCACTGGTGTTTCCACTGGTCGGTTGGGTGTAGGATGCTAGGTTGGAATCCTCCATCTCGTAAGGAGCATCTACACTGCCTGTAGATGCTCTACAATAAGATAGAAGCTGATCTCATTCACAGACATGCCAAGACTCAAAAGCTTGTCATTCTAACCTCTGAAGTGAGTGGTCTTGATCCAGAGGTGCTCGCCCTGGAACATTTCATTGTTATGGCCAGTGGGAGAAAGAGAAAGGGAATTCTCATGCTTTCTAAATGTTAGATATCAACTTTCAACCACTTAACGGTTGTTTTGTAGAAGAAGAGAATCAGAATCTTGGTATTTAGGGAAAGAAAAATCCATTTTGGTAATAACATGATTTATTTCAAGAATCTGAGAATCTGACACAGATTCTAAATAGTAAAATAGTAAAAGAACAATGGTTCTTTACTATTTAATTTGTCTTCTGTAACCCAATCAAATGAGTTGGACTGAATGAAATTTAAAGCCAAAAGTACTAAACAAAATCTGGTGTTGTTCATTTGATACCTGCAGGTTTATTCAGTGAGCTATTTGGCTTTAAGTGAATTGTACGGATAATGGCAATATTTCTTCAAAGGCAGATGATCATAGCCATTAAGAAAAATAGTTCTTTGGGTCAAACGTGGAATTCCATTCAAGAAAATGTAAGGATTTATTTTACTAAAATGACTTATTCATACCAAATGATAAAGAAACGTGTAAAAAAAATAAACAAAATTCTTGAATATCCTGCTACAGAAAAGCTTATTTTAGGTTAAAAATCAGTATCAAAGATCTACTTCTTTCACACCTATGAAAGTCACTGTCATGGAGCTCAGTGTATTAGTCAGCATAGGCTGCCATACCAAGCACCACAGATGGGGCTCCAGCAATGGAAACCTATTTCCTCACAGCTCCGGAGGCTGGAAGTCAGAGGCAAGGTACCAGCAGTATTGGTTTCTTCTGAGGCCTCTCTCCTTGGCTTGCAGGTGGCTGTCTTCTGCCTGTATCTTCACATGATCTTCCCACATGAAGACCAAATTTTTGGTCCGAATTTTCTCTTCTTGCAAGGACCCCAGTCATATTTTATGAGGGCCCACCCTAAAGCCCTCCTTTTAACTTCCTAATCTCTTTAAAGACCTTTTCCAAATACAGCCACATTCTGAGCTGTTGGCTAGGACTTTAATATACATTTTGAGAGGACATAGCTCATTCCATCACACCCAAATTCCAGCAGAAAAGTTAGAGCAAAGGAACTGAACTCCAGTTAGGAGAGAAGCGAACCTCAAATCAGACAACTAGAGCTGCCATGAAGCTTAGCATCCTGATCTGGGCCATTCCTTCATTTTACACACAGAAATCCAAGGATCTGAGAGGACACACAAACATCACCCTCCACCATTTCCATGCAGGGTTAACTTTTGAGCATCTACCAAACTAAAACCTTAAAATGATAATGCAGCCGAAGTTCATCTACTAATCTAAAATGAGAATGGAAATGACCAGATGCAACCAGCTACATCCAAGACCATCTGCCACACTGAAATTTTATGTACTGTCCTGGAGTGAGGGCTTTGGATAAACCCCCCTTTCCTGAAGGGAGGCTCTATTTGTTCTCGATCTCTTACATCCTCCAAGACAGACACAAAATAAATGTTTTATTCTGGGATTTTCTCCCTACTTAAAGGACACAGAGAAGTTCTTGTTTCCCTGTAAACAGATCTGGTCCCTGTTTGCCCATCTCAGATTCTAGATTTATTTCTCCTAAAGGCAAAACAAAGATTCATGCCCTGATTCCTGTAGGAGTTTCAGATGGGCCCACCTCAAAAAAAAATAAGAGTCAAAATGCAGCTCATAAAGCTGGTTGAAGTCGAGTGCAGGCATGCCTATGGAAGGCAGAACCAGAGGCTAACCAGGCCCTGAGCCCTCTCAGGCCTTGCTTCCTGACTGTTTCACTCACTGGAGAATTCCTTTCTGCCTAGGGCAGGCTTGGCTCACTGCTACTAGTACCACTGATTCTCAAGGAACACCCAGCCCCACAGATGTTCACGGGTCACAGAATCATGAACTGACCACTTGTGCATTTTGGATTTCAACTTGTAAACATGGGGATTCCCTTTAAAGAAAAAAAAAAAAAAAGGAAGGGAAGGGAAGAAAAATCACCATGCAAAGGAAAAATGTGAGCTAACTTTTTCCTTTTGGAATCTTGGCGGGTGAGTTTAGCTATCTTCAATCTGGCTTTCACCAGACATTGTATGCTTTGAGCAGGCATGGAGGCGTCTGCCCTTGGCTACACGGCCAGAATACTCAGACTTGACCTGTAACACGCCTTTTATTCCAGTCATGAGCAGAGACAGCCCAGAAGATGGGTCCTGACAGACACAGCATGCTGGCTGCATGGTGGAGCCTAGAGCAGAGACTCAAACCAGGACACAAAGCGATTAACTGACGAGGGCTGCACATCAGAGAGGTCCCAAGTTCAAGTCCCAGCTGGTCTGTTTCACCCAGCATTGGAGTACATCCCTTGACCTCCCAGTGCCTGAAGTCAATCCAGCTGGAACGTATTAGAGAGAAAATAGGAGATCCATTGAAATCCAAGGCTGCTTCTGGAATGAATCCTTCCCATCCTCCACCCTCAAATGCTAAGAGACCAAGAACCAAAGCCTTTCCTAAGATACAGAACACTGTATCTACCCCTAGCTAGAGAGCACAGAATAACCCATAATCCCAGGTCTGTTGACACCCAGAGCCCTCAGGTCTGCAAGCATTCTAAAATGTGAATGGAACTCATAAGAACAGTACATCCCACAACACAGGAGGTAGTGTCATGGTGAAGGACCTCCGACCTGCCTTCTGCTGTTCTGTTTACCATACTGTTATCCAAGACAAAGCACTCTGTGAATGTCCCTCTTTCTTGAACATTCTTTGGGAGAAGTTTGCCCAGCTGTGGGCTACAGGCTTCATCTCCAGTTTACTGCTTACACTAAATACAGGCTTTCTCTAACTTCTTTGAAGCACCCTGTGTGCTTTATGATCCTATAATGAGACTGGAACATCCATGTGAATTAGCTCTGGCTGTCACAAGGAAAGGTTTTGATAGAAATTGAGTCTGGCAGGATGGAGTCCTGTGCTTTCTGGAGTCCTGTGTTTTCTGGAGTCTTAGAATCAGCATCATGGCTGTGATGAAGGACAGATGTGGTAGTGATTTTGTGGGCTGGTGACACCTTTGGCACGGCTGATTCTTCCAGTATCCCTCTAGGACTGCTATGGGTTGCTTTACTAATTTTTCACATGCAGAAGAGAGTTCTTACACTTCCCTCAAGCTTCCTTGGTGTCACCTGACTTGTACCAAATCTGCTACTTTTTCTTCTTTCTTTCAGCGCGCTTTCCTATTTGCTCTCTGGCTTTGATTGAAAGATACTGAAATTCTCATCCAGTGCCTATGCCAAAAAGAGGATTAATGAACCAAGTATGTGAGATATGCATAAAAAAGAAAAGCTTGTGTTGAATAATTTGGGAAATGCTTGGTTCTTGGTGTGGTGTCATACCATGTGGTGGCATATTCAGAGCATGCCGAGGACTACAAGGCATACTGCTGTTTCAAAAACAGTTCATCTTTGTCAAATTCCAAATACCTCAAAGTTATTTGACCTGGAACCCTTATCTGAGTAAGACCCATTGATATCCTGCAGACCTAATGT